CGAGAGCAGCCGGGGGGGCCGTTATCAGATGAAAAGGCAGCAGGTGCAGAGGGGAAAAGCCCCCCGAACCCAGCCCAGCCCCTTCCTCCGAGACCCACACGGCCCCAGCTGCAGCAGCAAGGGGGTGGCCACAGGGTGCAGCCCAGGGGGTTGTGGAGGAAGGGGGGGATTTGGCAGGAACCCAAGGAGCAAGACCCCCGAGCAGCCCCTGAGCCAGAGTCCAGTCCCAGGCGGGGCTGAGCCCCGTTATTGCAGCCTGCCTGGCGCGGGGGAGCGGGGCCGGAGGGGCAGGGCAGGACGGGAGCTCTCAAGAGGGACCTTTTCCAGCCTGCAGGGATCCCGGCCGCGGCCAGGGGCCAGATGCAGCACTTCCCACGCAAGGCGCTTGCTGAGGGGCTGCGGCCGGGCGCCCCTGGGCTCTGCTGCCCAGGAGGGGCGAGGGCCGGCGCAGCGCTGCCCGGGGTCCGTCTTCCCCCAGCTCCACACAGAGCACGCCTGAGGCCGTGGACGTGCCGGGGGCCGTGCCGGGGCCTGCCCTCCCGGGAGGGCTACGCAGAGGCGTCGGCGGGCGGGCCCTCGGCGTCGCTGTCGCTCAGGTAGCTCCGGGAGCAGGCCCGGGGCCTGGCCGTGCTCTCGAAGGCGTCTCGCTCCTCGTCCGACTTGTCGTAGCCAAAGGGTCTCCGGGAGCCGGGGGGGCTGCATGGAGAAACACACGGTCAGCCAGTGCCCGGAGCTGGGAGCGTAGCGTGGTGCAGCGGGCCTGGCCCTCCATCCACACCCTCCCCAGCTCCAGATCTCCCTGCTGCCCAGGACACCATGCTGCAAAGGGCTCTCTCGGGCCAGCACCGGGTCGGCACCTGCTACCCCGCCACGGGGCAAGAGTGCCCCTCGCCAGGCCCTCACCGCCCGTGGGGGTCGGCTCCTGGCACCAGCGAGCTGCATGCGGAGAAGCTGCCCAAGGCACGAGGTGCCGTGGCCGGGCTGTGCCACGCACTGGAACGGAGGCATTTGGGACGCCATCTGCACAGACACCTGCGTGCCAAGGTCGCTGCCCGCAAGTGCCCATGCTCTCAAATACCCTTTGCAAACTCAAATGCAGCCACAGATTCGTCCGCGCCAGGCCAACACCCCGTCGAGCTGCAGGGAACAGGGCTTGTGCCTCCGACTTCCATCACCCAGGCACGGGCTCGCACCCGCACCCGCACCCCCTTCATCACTGGCCTCAGGCGAGGTCCCACAGACCCAGAGCAGCTTCCCCGTGCCGGTCCCACTCCACGTAACTGATGCCCGCCTGCCCCCGGTGCTGATGGAAACCCGAGCCCCAGGCAAGACCGGCTCTGCTCCGGCAACGCACAGCCTGCCCGGCGTCCAGGGAGCCAGGCTGCAGCTGCGGCTGGAGCAGGAGCAGGAGCAGCTCAGCCGGCAGCCGCCCTGCAGCGCACCAAAGGCTTTCCCAGGCAGCGATCAAAGCCACACCGCCAACACGCCTGCCTGGGGCACGGCCCGGAGGCGACCACCCACGCCCCGGCCTCGGCGCCTCTCCTCGCAGCGCCGAGCTGCTGCAAGCCACCGGGCAGAGCCCCAGCACTTCCCTTGCGACCAACTCTGCCGCCCTGTGTTACACACACGCGCGCACACACACACACACACACACTGCAACGGGTGCGTGTTAGTAACTCCAATGCACATGCGAGGGGCCGGCCCCACCGCCAGCCTCTGCTAGGGGTGCCCTAAATCTCCCAGGGAGCACGCAAGGAACTAGGGCCAAGGGAATAATCCTGCTGGCAGGACACACAGCGAGGTGTGGGGCATCTCCTGCCACTCCCAGGCAGCTCGCACCTCGCTGCGGCCTCTCCGATGCAGCTGATCCCTGCCTCCACCGGGAGCGGGCCGCTAGCTTCACCAGAAAGAAATCCAGCTGCATCCTTAGCAGCCCCTGAAAGGCCGGGCGGGGATAAGCATGTCTCAGTGTCCCGTGCCCCACAGCCGCTAATCCCCGCCCGGCAGACAGGAAACAGCTGGCAGCCCTTTGTGCATCGTCGCCTTGAGCTCCCACATCTCAGCCCCCTTGTCTGCACCCCCAGGCCCAGAGGGACAAGAGCAGCCGCGGCCGAGGATGCCAGGGGAGCTGGTGGAAGGTCTGCTCTGGGCTGGAGAGCCCGGCAAGTGCGGCTCAGGCATGGCACAGCTCATTAGCTGCAGGCAGTCTTCCCTCTCCCCGGAGCCGGAGGGTGGATCAAGGTCCCCATGCCCGGTGCGAGTGCGGACCTGCCCGCTCAGCGGCTCCTGCCCCCGGATGGCCCGGAGCAGACCGGGCAGGCCAGAGGGGCATGCAGTGGAGGGGCGAGGGTGGATTAGGGGTGGCACGGAGAGGGAGGGGCGTTAGTGGCACGCGCTCATGCTGCGCGGCACAGCACGGCACTCTGCAGGGCACCTGCTCAGTCGCTCTCGGGCCGGTACAGGTACTTCATCATGAGGCTGTCCACCTGCTTGCGCCGCTGCTTCTCCTCCTTCTTCCGCTGCTTGCTCGACTTCTCGGTGCCCTCCCCGCCCGAGCCGGGGTCCTTCTTCCTGGGGCCCTTCTTGACGCTGGAGCTGCTGCGGTAGGAGACGGTGGAGCCAGAAGAGGTGTCAGAGGACGACCCTGAGCCCGACGACGGCTGCTTTTTCTTGCCCTTCTTCTTGGCCTTCTTGCCGTGCTTCTTGGAGCTCTTCTTCTTCCGCTCCGGGGAAGAGGAGGTGTCTTCGGAGCTGCTGCTGCTGGTGCTGCTCCGCCGGCTCCGGCTGCTGCGGGGCCTGGAGAAGTCCAGGGCAGAGGCCGAGCGGCGCAGGCTGCCGGCGGCGCGCTCCGTGCCCTCGGCCTGCGCCGCGCTCCGGCTGCTCCGCATACTCCTGGTGTCGTCCTCGTCCGAGTCCGGGTCCAGGCTGGAGCGCTTGAACTTGACGGGCTTGTAGCTGAGCACCTCGTTGATGGCAGCCTCCAGGTCGGGGTCCAGGTAGGTGCGGTGGCCGACGGGCCGGATGTCTGCGTCGCCCAGCGGCAGCTCGTCAGAGGCGGCGGTGCGGGGCCGCGGGGGCACGGAGAAGCTGCGCCCGAGCGAGGGCTGGCTGTACAGCGAGCGGGACTCGCTCGGCGCCACGCTGGACACCTCCTCCCACTCGTCCAAGCGGCTCCGGGCCAGGGAGAGCCTGGAGTCCGCGCGGCTCCCCGCGCGAGCCGGCTCCAGCCCCAGCTCCGAGCGGCGGCTCAGCG